GATGGTTGTCCAGAAATGAAGTTTGTGAAGTGGAAGGACTGCAAGCAAGACGATGGTCATTCGTGCGGCGTGTGGGCGCTCTTCTTTTGGGACTCCATGCTAAGCGGCCAACACCTGTTATGCGTTTGAGCAGTATTACCCCCTTCGATACCTTCACATGTGCACGCGTAAGATGAACACTTAGCAAGAAGCTGGTAGGTTGCGTGGCAATGCTCCCTCAGCGCTGATAATAATTCGTCGTAATTGTTGTGGTGAAGTGCGAATACGATCTCACGAGAAAGGCAACATTGGCTGCCAGATCGCGAGATAGAGTCGGACTAGACGACAGGGATCCCACCCAAGCCAGGATTTCGGGCCACCCACTTAAGATTGAGCGGGCGACAACGTAGGTACCCGGTATGGCAGCGATCGAGGATTGCAGAAGAGAGGCGATCCAGGATCAAGGTATGATATCGACGGAGGATCGCAGGTGAACGACGATCCGAGATCAAGGTATGGCAACGATCGAGGAACCGGCACACGATCACGATCGAGGAGGCGGTTCAGGATCGTGATCGAGGAAGCTGTCCAAGATCGTGACGGCAGATCTCACGATCAGATAGGTATCTGGATGTCAGGGGATCGTAAGATAGCAGCTGAGGATGGGATTAGTGGACATGGGGATAAACGCAAACAGACTCGAATTTGCTCTAAGCCACACAAGTACCTACGTCACGCCTGGAACCGGGGAGTGGATTGGCCCCACAAGCGTGCGGAAGGTAAGGAAGGACTCGTGATCTAGTGTAGCGCTTAAGCCTGGATAATATATTGGCCAGCTTTACCCTATCTAGTGACTTGTCCTCAAGTGTGTACCGCTGATCGGAAGGCATTGGTTGCTTGGCAGGAAGATCACATCGGATCTCATCCCAACAAGTTCCCCGCTAAAGGAAGCGGCAAGCAAATACAAGGAAGGGGTCAGATCTCCGACACTGGACCCACACAAGACCTGGATCGACAACCAGGCATCCAGATCACGGCTCAACGACACGCCCGCGACCAGGATCAACTATTCCGAGATAGAGTGAAGAAGTTCCGCGCTATCACATCCTCCCTGCGTTGTACATTCGCCGAAAGACATCTCACAAGTCATCCGGAAGAGCGTAACCCGCCCAACGTCGGGTACACAAGGTAAGAACACTACCTAACCAGATCACGGATCACCAGAGGACCCCTTCGTTAGTCGGCATCCGGGCGCTAGTGGTATCGAGACCCGCGCCAACGCGATTTTCGCAGATCTCGCTCCAACACAATCGTGCGCGTGCCCGGATCTTCTGGTGACTTGGGATGACACTGTGAGTCTCAAGAAGAAGTCAAGGTCAAGGAAGAACACAGGGAAGAAGTGCCTACAAATGTTGGATCGACGGAGGCATCGCTGAATACAGCAATATCCACAGATCAGCAGAGTACTGGGAGGATCTCTACTGACAGACCTAGATCAAGATCCAGATCTTGAAGAAAAGCGTCGAATTCATCTCATGGCCGCTTCGGCAGCCACCGCGGATCTCGATGGGAATCTAGATCCGCACACAGCGATAAGGAAGCGGCAAAGCCGAAGTCCAATACGCTCACCAAGTCGGTGGCCGCGACAAGTTCGGCCAAGAAAAAGAAGATCAAGGCTGCCCGGACCAAGCTGAAGGCACCAGATTCGGAATCGGAACACGTGAACAGGTCGAGATCGACTATGACCTAGCAAATGATCGATCAGGCCTACTACCGGAAGGTACTGAGCGAGACACTGCTACAAGATCCCGTCCTCGCGATCATACAGGTCCGCCAGATCGGTGATCTGACGGGCCCGGTATCGAAGCCTCGTACCAGTGCGGATCGGTTAAACGCAGTAAAGATCCTGCTAGATCTGCCCCAGGAATCCGGACTGGTGGCCGGGGAATTCGATCCGGATTCTCTATTTTATATGGAACTGGGGGCGGTCCGGTCGGCGATCCATGATCTCTTCGACTCGCTCAAGATCCTGGGCGGCAAACACGTACAAACGCCTGATCTGAACTACCAAACCGGGTCGTCACACTACGCATCGGCCATCTCAGAACCAGACTCAGATTTCCCCAAGGACCACAGCATATGTCGCTAGTTCCCTCGGGCGCTAAGTACCTGAGAACACGCACGAAAAAGTAGGATCAACGGCCGACAGGAAGAGCGTCAGATCCCTGCAGGACGAGCCACTCCGACGACCAATTCGACCGGATCTAGCAGCAAACTCGACAAATATTTCCAGATGGCGATGAACCGATTTCTGAAAAAAAAACAGAAACTGGTGACAAACCAACCACCAGCCCTCGGGACGCAGGATATCGATATGGAGTCAGTCGGTACCCCAGACCCACATTCCTGAGAATACAATCCCGATGATCTCGGAATCCCGAGTTCCTCCGGTCCTACTTCCGGCCGAGCGGCAGTCGCCACGGCAGCGATCGGACCGGGAGGGTCATCACTGACCCAAAGAGTTCGAAGTTCGGCCATTTCAGATCTAAAAGAGTTTACCGGAAAAGATATCGACGAAGACCGCGCCAGAGCTTGGATCGGCAAGGTCAAATCGGCGTTCCAACGGGATCAAGCAACAGAAGAGGAGAAATGCCTCACGAACGCGGATCTCATGGTATGGCCATCCAAGAACTGGCATCGACACCGAAGCCGGACAACCAAAACCAAATGGGCGGTCCTACTAGAAAGCTTCCAGACCCAATACTGCGGCCTGGGAATGTCAGTGGCATGGCAATACTACCATTCACGCAAATGATCCGAAGAGACCCCGCTTGATTACCTCTATCGGTTGAACGTGGCAGCCCTACGAGCTAAACTCAAGATCAAGGACGGGAACCCCAAGACGCGCCGGGGACATGCGGACCATTATATCGAGACGTGGGGCTGGCCGACCGCTTAACTCTACGAGGCCGACGTCGACTAACTCGAGGAAGTGCTTCGCGCACGGAAACGAGCAAAGAATAGGCAACGCAGATCCGCGTTCGGATCGAAATATCGACAGAAAGCTCCAGTCAGCGCACCTGCTGCGTCATATCGTGCCATGGTACACGCGATCCAAGTGCAAGATCCGGGTTCCGAATCAGAAGGGATCCCGGTATCGGACGGATCCGACTCGGAAGGTGAAATGCGGAGGATCTCAGAAGAGAAATTGGTCGGCACTGGGGGCGCCTCACAACAACCCTATCCGGTGCGAACCCGAGCGAACGCGCCAGAGGGAAGCCGGATCCCCGAACGTCGGCCCCTGGTGACAGGGATCATCAAGAACGAGATCGTTGTTCACATTGCGGGTCCAGAAACACACACGGATCTAGCTGCTGGAAACGTCTGGATTGCGATAAGTGTGGAAAGAGAGGTCACCCAACGGATCGCTGTCTATACGCGTTTCGTGGATGCGAAGACGTCCACGAAGCTGGAGAATGCCCCATGGAAGAATTCTTCAACCAGACACACAAATGGTATGATCCGACTCGACATGCCGGGCTGTTCCCAGAGCAAGAGGAGAAGATGTTAACTAAGGACGCTCGCCGGGTTGGAATCCGGTACGAGCCAAGCGTTCTAAGTGCTGCATATACGCGTATGTGAACAAGGCGACGACATATCGAGGTAGGAAGGAGTCGGATCTACGCGGTAATACATGTAATTTGAATTCATACACCACCAAAATCGCGAGACTCCCTCGGATCGGCAAATTTAGCCGATATGACGCAGAAGTGGCCTTAGACCTCAAAAGATGAGATATTGGAAACGTCATGTACCGGGAAAATGGTTCCGACAAGTTAAGTTCTCAGGCAGGATCAACCAAGAGAAAGCGGTTCTGCTCCTAGACACCGGCGCTGAGGTATCAATCTTGGATACCACCTTTACTCGTAAGGTGGGATTCCACTTTGACACTAGTCAGAGATGGAATCGGTGACAATGTATACACCATGGAAGGGAGAACCAGGATCGAGATCACGTTAGCGGGATACCTGGTGTATTTTTTCGACACCTGGATTGGAGATTTATCAGGACAGAAACGCAATCCTAGGCATGGATTTCATGGTCCCAGTCGGTGTCCGGATGGACCTCGCCGACGGATCGATGTGTCTGCCTGACGAGGTTGGAATCCCGCTTAATGGTCGTAAGAGACTGTATGGAGAAATGGTGAGATCAGTAACCCTCGAAAGAAATCTACGAATCCCGGTTGGACAGTCTGAAGAAGCAGCAGCGAGTATAAAATTATCAGCTACGAAAAAACCGTGGGTGATCAGAGGAGAACGATGGGTAGCGACAGTAGCTGAGGGCCCAGGTCGGATCCGCTACCTGGTGATATCGAATATCGGAGAAAAGATCATACGACTAGACCAACGTCTAGACGTCGGAATGATACTGAATCAGGACAAAGTACTCCTATCCCCTGGGTTCGCGTCTGTCGCATCTCGCCGCTACTGGGAGTGGCAAAATATTGCGTTGGAATCGACGATAGATACTCGATCAGAGCCTCTAGAAGCTACAGAGGGTCCTGAAGAGCCGTTAGTACAGCGACCAACGTATCCCACACCACGATCGATACTTCGCCGGCCGAAACCGCCGACATCAACCGAGATCGCGCGTTGATATCGACCCTAGAGACTCGATCGTGGACGGAAAAGACCAACGCAGCCCAGATCGAAGCAAGGGCTCCCAATCCGGAAAGGTGTCATACGCCTACACCACTGACAACCCCCAGCGCCGATCGATTCCGGAGCGGCGATGCTGGGGCGGCAGGATAAGTGAGAGCATGCCGAACCAGGCTCCCGATCGGACTGGCACAAAGGATATCGAGTCGAAAACGGAAAATCCGAATTGTCAAACCGGAATCAAGCTCGAATCCGGCGAAGACTACGCCGTAAACACTCGGATCCGCCCGATTGAGGGCGTCGAACTACACGATCCATCAGCGGAAGAAGCAGAATTGATCCCCCGACAAGATACCAAGGATGATGATCAGATCTACTACCACGAGAGTGGTCGAAGATCTCGCGGGCAATCTCGCTGTGCTCCCCGAGGTCCCAATCTCGACAACCGCTAAAGTCAGTATCGAAGATCTGCAGGTAGGAGATGCCGGATCAGCCACCCCCGAAGAGATCGAGAAACTCCGGCAGATCATCTGGAAGAAGCAACACCTCTTGATCGGTAAGGGGAACGCCCTACCACCGGTTGCCAGGGACGTCGTATGTGATATTGATGTCGGGGACGCGAAACCGATCGCATTGCGATCGCATAAAGTACCCACACGGTTTCGAGAAAAAGTTGCAGGTCTGATCAAGGGCCGAGATCATCCGACATTCGACATCGCCATGGGCCTCACCAATAGTGATTGTCCGCAAGAAGAACGGCGTAGATATCAGGTTGTGCATCGACTACAAGCTGATAAATGGGATCACGAGGCTGATGGTCTACCCTATGCCTTTGATCAGTGATCTGCTAGAGGGCCTCGACAAAGCGTTGTGGTATTGCTCACTGGATATGACCAGCGGCTTCTGGGTCGTGCCTACGACGGACCGAGCCGCGAGATCTCAGCATTTATCACTCCGTTCGGCCTATTCAAGTGGAATCGCATGCCCTTTGTACTCAAAAATGCTCCCCAGATCTATCAACGCCTCGTGGACAACACGCTGTATGGGTTTATGAAAATCCCGCGGTCAGGTGGCTCAGGAAACGCAATGGACGTGTTCCAGACAGGGACCGCAGACGATCCTGATCGCCACTCGGTGTTGGGACGTAGATCAAACATTGACGACATCATGGTCGCTGCGGAATCGTGGTATCAAATGTGCCAAAGGGTGGAAGACCTGATGGAAGCATATGCTAAGTGAAATTTATCGATCAGTGTGAAAAAAAAGCTTTTTTCTTTTCTGGGGTATGAAAAAGTTAGAATATCTGGGACACCGGGTGTCGATCGAAAGTCTAGAGGCGAATCCAAATGCTCTGAAATCTCTGACAGATCTGCCATTCCCCGGATCGCTTCGATCCATGCAGTCGTTCCTGGGACTGAACTTTACAGCCGATTTATCGAGGACAACGCTATATACGTCTCAGTTCTATATGAGCTACGCGAGGTGGAATTTGCAGAACTGGAGAAACGATCGGATCTGAGGAAGATCATGGATCAGAATAACCCTATCGCGCGGGATAATGACCCACCGGAACCCCATACTGGGAAATCATTAGATGAGAGCTCATAAGGCGTTCACAACTCAGATTGACGATATTCAACCATACCTCCAACTTGGCATCGAGCTGCTCTGTGGTGTAGGGATTTCCCTTTTCTGCCTCCCGGCAGTGGTCTCGACAGTGATGGCGATTGAGGACGAATTTGTATTATCGGGTGTGGCATAGACCAGATTCGCATTCAAGGTGTGCGTACTCGTGGATACAGCGATGTC